CCGATATTTTCGACGACCAGTTTGCAATGATAATCTGTCGAGTAGGGGGAGGGGCGAAACACGCGTAAAAAGAAATTGCCTTTCCGTGCAATTAAGTTAATTGCAGAGTTCGAAATCGCCCAAGGAAGCACGTTCATCGCGATACCACGCGGTCCGATTTAATTAGTTCTAATATATTTTTGCACGAAGGGAGAAAAAACGCCAGCTAGCTGGTCACACTTGTGGCTCGCGTTGCCACCGAATTTATTGCAAGTTAATTCGATTTCAAGTTCATTCGCGCCGGGAGGAACTGTGCTAATTCGATTAAACTGGGGAGAAATCGGAGCGTTGTAAATTCTAATTAACTTCTCTTTTCTTTTTTTTTTTTTTTTTTTTTGTCTCAGACTCGTATTGCACATTCGAGGACAAACGACGAATATAAAATAAACATAACTGGTGGGCTGGAGGTATGCTCGTTCGTTTCAATTCTTTATAAATATTCATTCGGGAACAGGTCAATCGTTCCTACATCGACAGAAGTAGTTCGTTTAAATTGCAGAGATCGTAAATTTTTCAATTCGATCCTGTTTAACGAAGAAATTTTTTTTTCTTTCTTTTTGCTAGAGATTAGCGAATATCGATCGTACGTTTTATTTTCGTGCTTTCAAGGTAGAACATTTCGAAGGAATGCCACGTGTCAAGCACGTTTGAAATGAATAACGCAAGGATTCGCGCGAGCTGATAAATGTATCGAAACGCCTCATTCATGTTCCCGCGTTACGAGATCCGCGAGGTTCTCTCTCTTTTTGTCGAGCGTTATCACGAAAGGAAGATCCAGACGTGACGTGTACATGAACGCGGGAAAGTGTTTTCATTGAATGGACGTGTTTTGAAAGACTCGTGGGATCTAACAGGTAAGCCTGGTAAAACCGGGGTCCTTCTTCGGGCATCAATATGGCTTCCAGGTCAAGTCGAAGTATTATAATACTCGGAGAGGCAAGTGCACGATTCGAAAGAAAGATGAGTGTAAAATGAAATATGTAGGAATGAACACACGTTTGAATCAAATTAATATTTTAATCTGTTTCAAATATACTTACGTCGAATTAATATTTAATCAAAAACTACGATGCAAAGGCTATTTAAAGAAGTATATATTTCTATTCTACGAAATTACGTGTGTGTCTTGTATTTAATTGGTTTTCACAAAATTTTAGATACATTCGTCTAATTTTCCACGACAGATGAGAGAAGAGAATTATTTAAAGAATGAAAAATGAAAGAATTATTAATCTCGTTAATTTACAAGGAACGGGAATGCTGGTTCCACCTCGATTCATATTAATTGAGGAGGTAATCAACGTGTGAAGCAATTAACGGGGAAACGTTACGGTAACGGTTATTCATTCTGTTTATCGAGATGATTAGTTGTTCTGTTACAAGATGATGGAGTAATTTATTGGGAAACTCGTCAATCAATCAATACCTTTCACTTAGTCAAATGCCTGTCGTAATACTTTTATCAGTTTAAAATCTCTTTGAGAATTTTTATCCCAGGATTTTCCAATTTTTTCGTTCTTTTCTTTTGCATTTTGATATTTTTAATCTTAATAATTTTATAATTTTCTAAATTTCTAACCAACTTTCGAAATTTAATAATTCGACAAAACCAATGCAACAGGTCAAAAATTTGTCAAGCTGCTCTTAATTATATTAATTATTGTACGTTGTCTTGACGGAAGCAAGTTCTCTCACAAAAATTACAATTGCAGACTGTACTAAATACCTAATTATCGTTGCATGACTGCGAAGCATTCGTTTGTATCTACTTTGTAAAATAACGCGTTTATCTTGAAGACAGAAACACGTATAAAGTCTTCCAATCTTTTCAAGATGTTTCTTTTTCTTTCCTCTAAATTACACCATAACTCAAAATATACCGTAAACTGCAATTTCAGTTCCTGTAAAGATTAATCTAAAATTGAGAAACTTGCATCCTTTGTAAATTCAATTTTCGATTTTATCATTCTTCTCTTCTATCAGTCACACGTTCGTTAATTCAATTAGTTTCATACCATGGTTATCATAGTTACCAATTATCGATTGAATTCTATTATTTTTCTAAAAAGCTTTCACTCGTTTTACGAATGTTAGCTACACGGTTCTTTAAATTATTATTTCGCAATAATTGTCCCTCTACTTAGAGAAAAATCCAACTAATTGATTAATCCAGAATCACATCAAATATATAATTAATCATTGCGAAACAAAATTATTTTGCAATCATTCTTTTCATAAAATAGCAGATATTTCTAAATTTATACGATCCAGGAAATGAAATGATCCACCAGAATTCTTTCACCTCCGTTCGCGATGTTTGCAAAAACTGTTTCATTCTCGATTCGAGCGACTCTAGCGTAATTCAACGTCGGAGTATTGTTTTTCTCACTCTGTGACTGCTTCGAAATCCGAAAAAAAAAGGAAAAAAGCAACAGGGGAAAAAAGGTTTCTTAAACTTTATACAGCGGTGAGCGTATTAATTCACCGATTTCATCACGAAAGTGGTTCGTTCCCCACAGGTGTATCTGATTTGCATGCGTCCGACAATTTCCATACGACGATCAACCCTCCGTACACACATACACACGGCTGACTAATCGCGAGAACATCTAAATGAAAAAAAAAAAAAAAAAAAAAAAGAACGTTACGCGGTGATGCGGAAACGCGTTTCGATCGCTGTGCTCCAGATTACGCGTTCATTCAGAATCGCTGGCAACGAGGCGAGGTGACGGGAAAACGAGAGGAAAATGGATAGTCGCCGCATAGTTGCGAATTTCTCGCGGCTGCTACTCGCACTCCACTATCGTTATTATCGATAAAACGAGCGAATATTGGCCGCGGCTGTGTTCCAGTCGCTCCTTTCGGAGCGGCCATCGTTAAATGTGCTCTGCGACCAGTTTTCTCCATTTCGAGAGTTGCTCGCGCGTGAAAACGCCCGGAGAAGCCGGTACATACATGGTGAAACTATTTCGCGACTGTTGCACATCGAAAATTTTGCAAAATCCGTGACCAATGCGGTGTAAAATGGCTTGTAAAATTGAGGATACGTTTAGAAATCGATTAGCAGACTGCGGATTTTCAGGAACAGGTTTACATTTTTTTTAAAAAAATGGGATACTTCGACGAATCGAGCGAATTTTTTTTTATATTGAATTTTTTGAATATTCGGTAATCTAAATAAAGATGATCGGAGATGACCGAACTTGTAGATTTAAATTAAATTCTTTACCATGCCAACTTGTCAAATATGTGTGGAAAATATAAACTTTGAATCACTCAATTTCCTCTATGTGGATTATCTGCCATCTTACCATCAAATGCAAATTAAAACCTACTTAATTTTTATGCCATGAAAGCTTCGGCCACAGAGATTAATCAGAAGAGAAACTTATATGGAGAAAGCTTCACGCGTCTACGAGTGAAAATTTCTAATAGCCAACGTCGTCTTTCACGCGCGTGAACAATCGGCCAACGATTAATTAACGATTAATTAATTAATATTTAAAAACAAATTTTTAGTCTACTTGAACAACAAAATGGGTCCAGGTGTCAACTATGAAATAGTAGATGGATCTAAAAAAAAAAAAAAAAGAAGAAAGAAAAAAATTCCCGAGCAAAAGTCAATTCCATACAATATTCGAACGAACATTTCAGAACAACCACATGCAGAATTTCGCCTGTTACTTTGGCCATGCATTTCCATTCCTCTAAAAATCCATCGCAATCAAACCGCCGACCACAACCCGCAGCCGGGCCCACCAATTCCATCCGCGCTGCGAAATTTCTGAAACCTCAAAACCGCCGCTCTACAAAATGTATCTACGCAACGAATCCTCCACGAGAGGAGCACGAACGGAGTTGCTGTGTGTGTGTACGCGGGCTCGGTGATTTAAACCGAGGATATCGAATCAACAGGTACACAGCCTCGAGAGATCGAGATACATGTAACGGTATACGCGTTATTGTAGCGTATCGAACAGCGAACCATCAGAGGGAAATCGCCTCTTATCATACGAATCTGCGCGATCCGTGGCTTGTGACTGTGAAATTAACGAGAACATCAGATCGTTATTATTAATCGTTGCTAGTCGATTTTATTTCGGCAAAAGTTCACCAAGTTCTCTATTTTAATTTCGACGAAGATTCAGAGAAGTGAAGTTAGAAAAGTGTTGGCAAAATTGCGAAAGTTGCAATTAATATTTGCATCTGTCGTTATTTTGGAACTTTCGTACTTCGTAGTCGATAAGATACTATTCTAATGACAAGAGAAGCACAGAAGTCTTTAGAACAGCTCAGCTTTCATTTGCTTCCGAAATTTGTAATATTCAGAATGCGTGTTCGTTCCGTATATAAATAGTCAACGTGAAACAAATCTCTACGCAAGGTTCTCATTCGTGAAACTACAAGCATACACGAATCTACATTACTCGCGAAGCGAAATCTAATTTGACACTCGTGAGGGGGAGGGAAAAAATCAAACCTTGGCGATCTGGAAAAGGGCTTGCCTCCTCGGCCTCTGCTCCTGCTTCATCCTCGTCCTTTCTCGGCTCGCTACGCGAACGATTCCTCTCTTGGCCTCGCGAGACGTGTTTCCTCACTCTCTGGCACGATAACAATTCCTCCAGATCATCCACGATCGTTTTTCAATGGGCCAACGACGCCAACACTGTACATGGTTCAACCTTTCTTTCCTTCCTTTTATTTATTTATTTATTTTTTTTTTTTTTCTACTAAAACGAACAACACGAGAGCACAGGACGACACACGAGGGTTGCGCGCGAAGTAACAAGTACTCTCTCAGCCGGACGTCGATGCAACAATGCCCGGATAGGGCTGGAACCACTCCGCGCCGACTGCAGCGCCCGTGGGACTCCTGCGGGCAGGTTGGTAAACGCGCCGGGCCCGCGTTCGTGCCGCGAAACTATAGTCACTGCCGCGCGAGCTATAGCATCGACGGGGCGCGCTATAGTGCGCGGAGTTTCTGGACGGAGTCGGGGACTCCAGGGACGCAAAACATACTGGTGTGTGTCTCGGCATTCTTGTTCGAGCCTTGGGTGTTTATTGGGTGTAGCTTTTAACACGTTGTATAGTTGTTTCACGGTTTTGGGCAGGTGAGAGATAGATTTGGAATTTTTTGAAAGCTTCTCGAGGAATCATTGGATTTGAAAACTTCAGGTATTTATTAAGATGAAGGTATATTGTTAGGATATATATTTTAAGATAAGGCGATATTGTAAGAATATATATTTTAAGATAAAGCTATATTGTTCGAAATTTTAGTCGATAATTGATAGCAGACTTTTAGTAGATAATAGATATTTTAGTAAATATTTTGCGAATATCTGAGGACACAAGTCTTTCTTCCATTTTTGAAAGCAAAGATGATAAACTTCCTACACAACGTGCACAAACACCGGACAATTCGAACGAAGCATCTACGAAAAGTCTTTACAAAGGTGAACAAGCGGATGCGTCCCTGCTGTTTACTACAGTCGGCGCAGTCATTTTTACTACGGTGAAGTGTAGCGTGGGTGAGAGGCCCGGGGTCAGTTGCGAGCAGGAGAGGGAGAAAAAGGGCGGTTAGGTAGGGAGAGCCGGGTTTTCGAACGAGCGGAAAGGGGAAGTGGCCACAGGGGAACAGGGCCACGGAAGAGGCCCACGAGGTGGTGGTGTGGGGGAAAGGGGAACGCGACGAAGACGCCGGTGAACGTACCTTATTTACTAGCGTGTAGTGACACAGAGGATAAAGGAAGGGGGGAGAGAGTGGAAGAAGAGTGGGCCCATCACGACACCGACAACATTTTACGTTACGCTACGATGCTACGAGATTGTTACGCAATTTGATTCGAGAGAGAATGAGTAATTTTGGGAACTCTTTCCCCCTTCCGTTCTTTTTCCCTCTTTCACCGCTCGAGGGCTCTGTCGATGCGTATCTGCGTCCAATTTTTTACGTTTAGCGTCCCGCGGCAATTCACACCGGTGGACTCGTTGTTCCATTGTGGGCGTGTGAATCGTGAGCCGACTTTATCAATACACCGGGTTTTTCGTGTACGCTAAGTTGCTGAATGAACGTTCTAATCGTTCGTACACGCGCGTTCGCTGCGTCGATATTAATTGGAAACGAGACTGCCTGGAAAGGAATTTTTGTCGTCGACGATGTTTGATTTGTCTTGCGCCATTGTCAATTTTCGTTTCACGAGATATGAACGTGTAAATCTTCTTAATAAAGTATTTCAGTTTTGTAGACTTGGATGTAGACGTACGCGTCTCGAATTTTTAATTTTAATTTCCCTGTGTAAATTATTGTTTTATTTCCTGCGTATTTAGAAACATACATGCGTATAATTTCTTCTACGTTAGAAACGTGTAATTACGTGACTTAAAGTCTACTATTTGGAAACTTACTCCGAAAATATTTAATATTCTTTTACCAGGTTTTCAGGCAAACCAACGACGTATTTTACCAACGACAATATTTTACATTTTCCTATTCTACGAAATGAAAATTGACTTCTGTTGTAAAAAACAATACTTACAATTTATCAACTATTAAAATTAAATTTATCGTAAGTTTCCAGTAAAAAGTTTTCACGAAACAAACGAGGCAAATTAACATCTGTCATAAAAAAAAAGCCGCAAGTGAAACACAGTAATTTCAAGTCATCATCACAATGTCCGCAAAAAAAGAAAAAAAGAGAGAAAAATATCATTCACAAAACACTGTTTATAATGTCCAAAAGACGTGAACTTACATACGTATTTCAAAACGGTTCCATTTGTTTGGAACACGTGGGTAAAAATACCCATCATTTTCTTGGTACATCGTCCGTAAATCCATATGGCGAATCGATAAGTGAATTCTTCCGAATGTGACTCGTAGAACGCGAGAGATTATCGCTCCTTCTACGAGTCACTCTTCAGTCGTTCTTGCAACAGAGCTTATTCCATTCGCGCGTAATAATCGTAAACCTTCTCGCGCGTAAAATATCGGCACGTGTCTCGGATGGTAGAAAAAAAAATGACGTCTCGTAAAGGTAAAAGACATTTAAGAAGCCCGAGAGAACGATTGGGAAATCGTTAGAAGAAGGAGGAAATTCAAGAACAAAAATACGCGGATATTTCAAACCTTCTGAATTCGGATAAAGCGTTCTGGAGAGTCGAGAGAATAGAGTCGACTTGGTTTCAAACGTGTTCTTTTCTTTTTTCTGTTTTTGCTTTCAAACTGGAAACACGAAGCAGATTTAGCTGACGCCCTCGCAACCGGTCTGGAGATTTGCATGGCGACCGTGCACGGATTCTGGATCGTTTCTACGCGCTTCGACTTCAGCCTTCGACGAAACAACGCTAAGTTTAGACTCGCAGAAAGATTATCCAGATGGAAAAAGAGAAACGGAATATTTCTGCGATTTATTGGGATACGTAAAAGCTGGCGAATTATGACGATCTATGAGAAATGATTCAGGAAAAAAGATGGAAAAATATTTGTCGAGAATGACGTACGACAACGTGGGAAAAGGTTCGAAAGAATTTTGAATTTTAAGAAGATCAATTCGCTTCGGAATGGAGAGATGCTTTTTTGTATGTTTTTATGATAAATGTAAATCAACCATGTATATGTCATACATTGCCTTAGGTACTGTGAAAGCCTCGATAAAAGCGTAACCGAGTGAAGGCTACGAGACGCGGTATCAAATAAACGCCCTGAAAAGTTCTTTATAATTGCCCTAATTTCATTTAATGGTCCACAACGTTGCAAAGTAACATATGAAATTGGAGATAATTGGCAGCAGAGCTGTTTCGTACTTGGCAAAGTGAATGGATCTAGCATGGAGGACCTTGTTCCTAAATGTCTTTGCGTGAACAGAAAAATAATAAAAATACCTACTACCAATGAAAAAAAAATAATAAACTCAAGTGCAAATTGTTTTCCAATACTTTCCAGCCCAGATTTCTAATTTCTTCAAAGATCCTCCGTTCTAAAAAAAAATATTATCGAGTATTACATATTAAATTTCTTTTTTAGCGATTCCACGATGTCAAACGTTCAAGTTTCTTATAATTAGAATAAATTCACAAGAGAGAGACAGAGACAACGAAAGTAGAAGTACAATTTTAGTAAATTTAAATAAAACCTACTACCAATGAAAAAAAAAATAATAAAATCGAGTGCAAATTGTTTTCCAATACTTTCTGGCCCAGAGTTCAAATTTCTTCAAAGATCCTCTGTTCTAAAAAAAATATTATCGAGTATTACATATTAAATTTCTTTTTTAGCGATTCCACGATGTCAAACGTTCCAGTTTCTTATGATTAGAATAAATTCACAAGAGAGAGACAGAGACAACGAAAGTAGAAGTACAATTTTAGTAAATTTAAATAAAACCTACTACCAATGAAAAAAAAATAATAAACTCAAGTGCAAATTGTTTTCCAATACTTTCCAGCCCAGATTTCAAATTTCTTCAATGATCCTCTGTTCTAAAAAGAATATTATCGAGTAATATTACATATCAAATTTCTTTTTTAGCGATTCCACGATGTCAAACGTTCAAGTTTCTTATAATTAGAATAAATTCACAAGAGAGAGACAGAGACAACGAAAGTAGAAGTACAATTTTAGTAAATTTAAATAAAACCTACTACCAATGAAAAAAAAAATAATAAAATCGAGTGCAAATTGTTTTCCAATACTTTCTGGCCCAGAGTTCAAATTTCTTCAAAGATCCTCTGTTCTAAAAAAAATATTATCGAGTATTACATATTAAATTTCTTTTTTAGCGATTCCACGATGTCAAACGTTCCAGTTTCTTATGATTAGAATAAATTCACAAGAGAGAGACAGAGACAACGAAAGTAGAAGTACAATTTTAGTAAATTTAAATAAAACCTACTACCAATGAAAAAAAAAATAATAAAATCGAGTGCAAATTGTTTTCCAATACTTTCTGGCCCAGAGTTCAAATTTCTTCAAAGATCCTCTGTTCTAAAAAAAATATTATCGAGTATTACATATTAAATTTCTTTTTTAGCGATTCCACGATGTCAAACGTTCCAGTTTCTTATGATTAGAATAAATTCACAAGAGAGAGACAGAGACAACGAAAGTAGAAGTACAATTTTAGTAAATTTAAATAAAACCTACTACCAATGAAAAAAAAATAATAAACTCAAGTGCAAATTGTTTTCCAATACTTTCCGGCCCAGATTTCAAATTTCTTCAAAGATCCTCTGTTCTAAAAAAAATATTATCGAGTATTACATATTAAATTTCTTTTTTAGCGATTTCAAGATGTCAAACGTTCAAGTTTCTTATAATTAGAATAAATTCACAAGAGAGAGAGAGACAGAGACAATGAAAGTAGAAGTACAATTTTAGAAAATTTAAATAAAACCTACCAATGAAAAAAAAAATAATAAAATCGAGTGCAAATTGTTTTCCAATACTTTCCAGCCTAGATTTCAAATTTCTTCGAAGATCCTCTGTTCTAAAAAAAATATTATCGAGTAATATTACATATTAAATTTCTTTTTTAACGATTCCACGATGTCAAACGTTCAAGTTTCTTATAATTAGAATAGATTCACAAGAGAGAGACAGAGACAACGGAAGTAGAAGTATAATTTCAGTAAATTTAAATAAAACAGCGTTTCCTTTTCCCCGCGAGTTCTATTTTAAACTGAAATTTCGTGCCTCGAAGCGCGCGTTTCGAGCACGTCAGAATGCAAGAATTGCAGCGGTACGTTTCGAGCGGCTTGTTCCGAGGACGGTTTTTTTGAACTAGAAGACGATATTCCTAAGCACGTAGAGCGCCAGTTTTCCAGCAGGTCTGGCGCTGTTTGAGGATTTCCAGACGCCACTTGCCGAGAGCCCCGGGACCCAACCACAATGGCAGACTTTCTTTTTCGGCAGAGTAAAACGAAAAGCGATTACAAAGAAGCCTGTGCTCTCACGGTCGTGTTGGCCGCTCCTCTCTTTACTCGGACGCTCTGCAGACCTCCTACGCTCGCTTTTGAGTACCCAATGGACAATTGTCTCAAGTATTGAACCATCATTTCGATGTTTTGTTTTTCCTCCCATATGTTTTTTTTTCTTCGTGTGTGTCAGTATAACCACAGTTTCAACTTTTACGAATATTGTAAAGTATCAGTAGGTAATTGGTCATTTTTTTGTACAAAATTTTATTTTATTTAAAAGTTAATCCGATTTTAATTTATGATATAATTCTATTTCCTTTTTGTGAAATGAGGGTGATTTTGAGTTTGTAAAAACAAACAGATCTTTCAGATTTTACATCATCGAAAAGATTGGAATCACCGTTCTTAAATTTTTTGAATCAACGTTGACATGCTCTGGTATCCAAGACGTCAGAATAAACAGCATTAATGGCATTTGTGGTATTGTTATGCTCTCGAAACTCATAAAGCATCAAACGTCTAATATGGAATTTATACACTTTGCTCATCCATTCTTACAGAGTTTACTCAAAGTTAACAATAAGCACACTAAATGATAATGGAATATTATGTTACAATAAGTTGAACTATTGTCATTAGATGGTAATGTTTCTTAAATTTGATAGAAAAAACATACGGCTACCCCTAATAGAAGTGTCTCGAAAAAATATGTCTATTATTACTTTACATTTACGTGTTTAGCACTACAGAGAAATTTTCAACTTTTTACGATTTGTAAGAATCTAGTTTTCCTATTTGTGATGTGTAACAAAGTGTAAGAACGTTAAGAATTTCTCCAGCATATTTTGCAATTTCAAAAATTAGTCGAAAAAGCTCCACTCGATGAACTAGCTCGTCCAACGTTTGTCTTTTAATATTTTTGAGTTGAAGATGTTATTCAGATCTGTGAGACGACTTTGATTCACTCGAAATCGAAAACATTTGAACGATATCCGAGACTTAAACATCCTGAGATCCTCCGGTTCACTGTATTGTAATACAAACAGGCGTCTGCGTGGAGCTGTTAATTTTTTTTCCACGGAAAAACAACGTGGGCGAGAAATGCAACAGCCATTGTTCGAGATTCGCTCGAGCCACAATGTGGATGATGAACAATAATGTCCGCTTGAGAAAGTCATCGAGAGCCGTGCGCTTACGAACTTTACGCGCAACCCATTATCCTACTTATGCTACTCGACACTCCTCCAGATTCTTTGCGAGCACATCGCCAAGTATTTGCGCACCTCGACGTCTTGATGTTAATCAATTGCGTCTGCGTTCGTTCTATCGCGTTTGACGTGTTATGCGACTTATTACGTAATTATGAAATTTCAACTGGGGTGTAGAAATGTGTATATAAAAGTAGTGAACGTGAATAAAATCACATAATAATTTCAGATTAAATTTGATTAATACAATATATTAGTTATATAATTAAAGTTTATATATATTAATTAAAATATATTAGTTATATTAGTTATACATTAGTTTAAATTTGATTAATACAATATAGTTAGTATATATTAGCCTTTTTAATGTAACATTTTATCACTTCAAAATTAAATGGCTAAATAGAATAATTTTTGGTTTTTAAAACAGCACAAAATTACAGAATTATATAATCCTAGAAGAAGAATTCTAGAAAAGTTTATTTCGTCACTGAAAATAAAAGTTTTCAAAATAGCACAGACCATAAAATTTTCGCAGAATCACGGAATTGCAAGTAGAATTCTCAATTAGAATTTATTCTGTCGCTACAAAGTCAAAGTCTTTAAAATCCTGCGTAAAATTCCTGCGAAAATCACAGATAATTACAATTTCCAGCATATTTTTCAAAAAATCCAGAGATTTATGGAGAGGATATTTCGTAGCTAAATACTTCAGAATCTTTGCACGTAAAACATAGTGGGAGAAATCAGTGAAGACACCGAAAAATGCCATTCAAGCAACCAGATACCGAGTCCCTCGCCATTTGGTGTCTGTTTTACGTAAAAACACGGCAGCCGTTCGCGTATTTTTCTTTTTCCTTTTTTTTTTCTCTCTGTTTCTTTTTTCCTTCTTCTTCATCGATATTGCAGTTAAATACGTGACACGCACGTTCCAGGCGGCAATTCAACTGCCTCTCGATATGCGCACCCCTTGCAGGGTTTCATGGACGCATCTGTCGCCATGCAACACCCCTTGGACACAATGCAGGTGGTAAGTGCGTGTTCTTCGATCGAGGCTCCATCCATTTTTCTGACGTTTGCGTTTCACTTTCGTCGTAACGACAGCGCACGAATTTGTATCTGGCACGGCAGTTTGAATGAATTTTTCACGAAACACTCGCGCACCCGCGTAAACGTAGAAAGCGCGAATGACTGGGGGAAGGTTGACAGGACAAAAATCCGAAAACAATTTTTTTCTCTTTTCATTCGATATGAATCTACATACAGCGAAATAGTGAAATTTAATTCGAGAAATCGGGGAACAAGAAGACATTTAATTTGAATTGGGAATTTTCAAATTTATGAGAATATCTCGCAGAAACCGATTTTACGTCCTGTAAGATAGATTTAAAAATCAATTCAACTACTAAGAAACGAAGAGGTTTCTATTTCAATCGTGTTTTAACGATTGAACCTTTGAAATAATTAAAGTTTCAGGTCAGATGAATTTTGCTTTCAGAACATTCGTGTCGTTTGAATTATTCTAAAACGACGTGTGAAGCGAACGAAAATCAATGCTCGGGCAACTTCCACCAGAGATAGCACCGATCTTCGAAGGAAACTGAACCATCCGCTACAGAATTTACTAAAGTTCCGAACTTGTTCACTAACACTTTCGACAGGCGCTCTGGTTGCTTGAAAACCGTCAAAAAAGCTCGCAACTGTAAGGAAGAAATTTCTCGAATTTCTGGAAATCTTCTTTTCCTAAGTTCTCAAACAATCTTCTAAAGGTACACACATACACACATACTAAAATTTTCACTCTAGTCAGATTTCAATTGGAATTAAAATTAAAACCAAAATTTGTTGGATTTCGAGTAGAAAAGTAACACTTACATCTTCGAAAGGATTTATTCACGTTGTGACCGAGGTCAAGGATGATGTTTTGGTCTTGCTAATGGAGAAAAAGCACGATTTTTTATAATTGTAATTCGAAGGAAGGGGGAAAAAAATTGGTGGAATTTACTCTACGAATAACTATTCGTGGACCATTTTCGAAGGTCTACTTCTGAGTCAATGTTAGCACTGAACTAATATAGGATGACCACTGAAAAATTAAAAGGTTTGAAGAATTCGTAGAAAAAAAAATTTTTTTAATTCATAAAAATTCACACGTAAGACCGAAAACAATCTATTAATTATATTTCCAAATAAAATAATAAGAAATTAAAAGAACACGTGTTTGTATAAGTTATTTTTGTTTCATATCAATCAGTCTTTCAGTGACCACTCTATGTCATCAGGCCAATCAACAAATTCTCGATCAATCAAATTCCAACGAATATTATCTCAGCTTTATTCCAATCAAAACGTACGACTGAAAGTTCCCTGTGAAATGGCCGAGGAAGAAAAATTTTTCCACAACCTTCAACCTGCCAGTTTTCCCTCCAAGTGGACGCAGGTGTTACAGAAGCGTTCGTCGCATTCAACGGCGGTAACGCGTTGGAAAAGGGAAGCACAGGTACAAAAGGGAGCAGGTAAGCAGTTTCTCGAGTCGGTGCATCGGTGCAGGGGTCGTCGTATAATCTACCTGAAGCGTTCCGAGACACGTTTCGAGACAGGGATCGTAACTCTCATCAGGTGCTCGCCGAGATCGAGACGCTATCCCCTATTCACCTAGGCATCGTATCCACTGGTCTGTGACTCTTTGGCGATCACTTCGATTTCATCCCGCGCCAACAGCATTTACATTTGAAACGACATCCACGTAGCCGGAACCAAGAGTCCAGTTGCTTCTAGACGTTTGACAGCAACTGGAGACGCGATGGAAACTAGACCTGTCGCTTTTGAATACTCTGTGAGAGCAAAGAAGGAAGACTCTCGCGCGATAATTCTACAAAACGATCGACAAAGCGACGATTTTTATGAATTTTTCTTGAGGAAACTGAATCGACGATGCGAGGCTGAATTTTCTTGGGGGGAAGAGGAATTTTTAAGTGTCTTTAAATTTTATAAATTATTTAAATTAGAAAGAACGACTCTCGGATCAGAAGTCTACGACGATCCTTTTTCGATTATTTTTGGACTGCAATTTTTATTATGGAAATTTTTATAATCAAATGTTGAATCATTAAATTGAATCTTTTAATCTTTTTAGGGAAATTTGTTATTTAATTTGATAATCCACGAGAAGATGTACTTAAATTATATTCAAGTATTGTAAAAATTAATTATAGATGTTATAAAATGTTATAAAATAACATTGTAAATCAAAATGTAGTATATTTAAGAATAAATGAATTATAAAAAATTTAATTTTTAGATAATTAATTTTAATTTGAAAGAGGATTTAATAATAAATTAATTAAATTATTTCAATTGAATAAAGTATAATAATAAGCAAATATTATACTTTTCATTTCATCACTATGTGTTTATTCTCTTTTTTATTTTCAGTATTGGACACTATTGAAATGGTTGTGTTAATAAAGTAATTAAAATAAAGTAAAATGGCTTGCTTTTAATCTTTTTAGGGAAATTTGTTATTTAATTTGATAAACCACGATAAGATGTACTTAAATTATATTCATGTACTGTTACTGAAATTTATAAATAAAAATTGATTATAGACAAAAGTATTATAAAATAATATTGTAAATCAAAATGTAGTATATTTAAGAACAAATGAATTATAAAAAATTTAATTTTTATATAATTAATTTTAATATTAATTTGAAAGAGGATTTAATAGTAAATTAATTAAATTATTTCAACTGAATAAAGTATAATAATAAGCAAATATTTCCATTTAATCACTATATGTCTATTCTCTTTCTTATCTTAGTATTGGACACTATTGAAATGGTTGTGTTAATAAGATTCATCTAGACACTTTTCTGGGAGGTCATTTTGTTTTTAAACAGATGTTGCATTTCAATTTAATTCCACAAGCACGTAAGAAGGCAGAATCGCGGAACACGAGCGAGTGCTGTAATGTATGTACAACTATAGCGGGACACGCTGCATACGTCCCTTTCACCGTGATTCGACGACGAGCACCGGGAATGCGTGGCTCTTGTGTTCTTACGTTGACATTTATTCTCACCTCGATGACCCGAGAACACCTGCAACACGGCTGATTGACCTCGAGTCCGGCAGCGAATCGAGTACACACTGACACCCCTTAACGAAGACAAACTAACGCCGATGTGTTCATCGAAATTATCGCATCAATGAGCTTGTTGGTCGCATGTCTCGTGTAACCTCAGACTGAGGTTGAATTATGACAGTTGAAGCGACTCGATTGGTAATAAACAGACTGTAGATTTCCACGCATTTGCGAGAAGTGCACAGAATATACGAATCATAGAAAATATATAAAATATCCAAAACTAAAAAATAGTTTTTTTTTTTATATAGAAAAAACTATTTTTTTATTTTAATATAGAAAAATATGTGAATATATAAATTAAATATAGAAAAATATGTGAATATATAAATTAAATATAGAAAAATATATGAATATATAAATTAAATATAGAAAAATATGTGAATATATAAAGTATATTAAATATTATAATTATTAAGTATATTAAAAATTTTAATAAAAATGTATAAAATATCCGAAAATAATTATTAAGAAATATGTGAATATATAAAGTATATTAAATATTATAATTATTAAGTATATTAAAAATTTTAATAAAAATGTATAAAATATCCGAATGTAATACTTAACAAGTGAAATAAATCTTTGTCACAAAAATCCTAAAATTGCATAAAAATCCGCACGATACCGAGATTGAGATTGTCAAGTGATAGAAATCGATAGACTTTCGAACTGCGTATTATTATCCTACAGGAATAAGTATTGTATACAAGAATACGGCTCACGAAAGTATTCGAACGTTTAAAAAGAAAATTATAAAATTACACTTTGTATAATTTAAAAAGCAATTATACAAAATCTAGCGTTTCGCAAAATTCGCCAAACAAGGAACGAGCCTCGGAGGATTGACCAATCGTTCGATCGGAAGATTCAATCGACAATTCGACGAATTAGAGGCGCAGCGACGCAGGCCACTGACATTTCGACTTCTCGAACAGGCGCACGTGCTCCAACGAGTTGGCGAACAGCAGGAGGAAATGGTAAACCGAGTGCATCGGTATCAAGCTGAGGGCCGCGCACGGAGAAGAGCGATCGCTGCATCTGCCTGCACCTGCTGCACCTGAATCCGCTGCCAACGAGTGGAGATTCAGTGGAGAAAGATTTCGCGAAGAAATGCAACCTCGAACCGATCGACGTTTCAACGTTATTCTGGGAAACTGTGGATCGATCGAATTTTAGAAAACTGACCATTCGAAATATTCTGTCGTTGAATTGTGTCGTCGTGCAATTTCATTTCAGTAAAAAATTAGTCGTTAACCTGAAGAGCAATGGCTCTTGAAATAGCTAATGAAATTTGTTTGGATTCTCGAATGTGTTTAAAAATTACGCTCAAACAGGCATTTAAAATACCTGAAAGACGTTGCGACGCTTATGATGGATGAAACGAATTTCCATTGCGTATAATATTCGCAGCCTGGCAAATAAATCACTCTACACGCACGTGTTCAAACAATTTTTAAAGTTCTATCGACTTGCTAAAACCAGAAAGAGGAAAAGCACGTTCAATTTTCCTTCGTTATTTGTCCTCGAATCGTTTATATTCGTTAACCGGCTGGTCTACGCGATTAGCATTAATCGATTGCGGATTAACACTGTTGCGCAATCGCTGATCGGCCCTTTCACCGAACAAACGCGCGAAGAGGCAACGCGATCTCTCTCGCGTGCACTTTTCGCGATCTTCTCGTCCGTTCATCTCAGATTCGCACGTGCGCAGCTCACCGTTGGCAAAAAACAACGAGCGAACACGAGGAGAAACGGAGCGCGGAGATAAATGATCGTCTTTCTCGAGGGGATAAGATTCGCTATAAATAGAGCAAACCCGAAGCGTCATTTTATTTCAAACTGGCCGCAATATCGCGATACCACTCGCCACCGGGGGCAGGAGGAACGATCATTAATTATTACCGCGGATCCGTCTGTCTGGCACGCGATTAAAAATACCGTGGCCATTCCTTTTAAACGATTTTTCCATGAAATCGGTGTCGTCGGTGTGTTATTGGCAGACTGTGGATTTGTTCGTGCAACTTTGTATTTTTTTTTTTTTTTGCGAAGATAATTGAAGAAATGGAGAAGCTATATTATATATAATATATATTATATATAATATATATTATATATAATATATATTACATTTTATAATAATTTTTATATTATATTTATATTATAATTTTGTATTATTGCTTATATATATATATAATAATAATAATTTTTTATAATTTTATATATTATTAATTATAATTTATATTCTTAAAATTATATTTAATTTATTATATTTAAGAATATTCAGAATAATATTACAATATTATAATAATATTATATTATATTATTATATTAATATATATTTTATAAAAAATAAAGTATTTTTATAATATTATATTAATATTTTTTAATTATATATAAAATAATATATATAACATTATTACAATATTATAATATTAATATTAATATTATAATATTGTAATAATATTATATTTAATTTATTATATTTAAAAATATTCAGAACTGTTTCATCAGTTGACTGTCAAGCGAGATGACATTACTGAACATTACAAGAATATTTCAAACAGCACGAGTAACTAGAAAATATCACGAAGCATCTCGAAATCCTCGATTTCCAAAACTCGGTCGTTTCGATCTCGATGATTATGCAAGTGAGCAACAAGTTCATTTCGAAGATGGAAAAACTGAATCGTTCTGAAACTTTCTAAATTTCATCCGCCTAACATTCTCCCTGTTGCAGGGAATCGAAACAGGTTTCAACAGTGAACTCGAATGCTTTCCATCTCGAACAGAGATCGACCAGCGGCAGCCACGTCTTTCGCTTTCTTGCCCTTCTGTTGGATGCTTCTAACTCACGGCTGATCGAGGTGCTGGTCGCACGTGCGCCAGCTCGCCCCAGCAAAAGGAAGAACACACCAACACCGATCATTCGCGGAGGAAAGAGAGAGGAAGCCAGAAAGGCAGAAACAGGTTTCACCCAAGAAGATGCTGCCGCGGCTGCTGCTGGTCCACGAAAAGCGTCAACTCCGAGATTACCGCGGTGGGACATTGAAATATCGTGGAACGAACCCGACGTTCTCCGTAGTAAACGGAGTAAATAGCATTTGTTACCTCTTCTTGCGTACTGTATACTGTATGTAGGGTTAATCGCGTAGGTTAATCGCTTGCTCGACTGTGACGAACGCGTTCATGCGCTGCTGACGAAGCTTCGTCTGAATTCCAAGTTCAATATTGAGTTTAGAATTCGGATATAAAATAGAGTATTGATCAATTTTTTCACGTTTGTTGTAATTCTGACAGTTTGTTTGTTCGATTGAACTTTGTTGTTAGTAAGATTGTATTGTCAGTGGGAAAATTCAAATGGAAAATAATGAGAACCGTATCAAATTTTAATTTGATGCCCTTGTTCCACCGAATTTTTATTCGCTTTAATAAAACGATTTTTTTAATTCAATGGAACGATCGTGTGATATAATATACGTTAATATTATGTCACAGAATTTTCTTTTTGATTTCTCGAATCGAATAGATTAATCACCTTTGTTCCCAGAAAGATATTTTCAACGTTTACTTTTTTATTGTTCACCAATTATCAAATGTTTCATTGCACAATTAGAAGAAAAAAAAAAAAAAAAACAAGTAATAAATCGAAAAGACTACAAACGAAACATGCAGATGTCCAAGATGACATACTTTTATCGTCACGTCGTCCCAGATATTTACAACTTGAGGAATAACTGTTTCCCGAAGAGTCATCATTCGATGATTCATGCAAAGAAATCTAAGAATCCTCTAAACGGTATCTCCGGCTTCCTATTCTCTAATTTCATTCAAAGAAGTATCGCATCATCATTTTCCGATCATATTATTCTCGAAAATCATAAGCGAACCCTGTATAAAAAAAATCTCACGAACTTTAATGACAACAAAAATTTTTTCAATAACCATTAAATATGATTTCTAACGATCAAAACCAAAATTAAATAATATCTTTCAGATATCAAATCTCCGCTTCGAGCGTTAATAACGCGAGGAAATTTAACTGACGATACTAGCCCGCCAAATTCAAATTTCATAGAAACAACGCCATTAAGCGTGTATAACAATTTATTATAGCTTGCACGTGTAAATGACTTTGAAACAAACCGAATTCAAGTGTGCAACGATCGCATTAAAAAATAAATTGCGCGTCTGTATGCTCATGCAGCGTGCAACAATCGATTCGTACGCGCGAGGAACAGTTCCGTCCGAGCGCGTGTAGTGGCGCGAAGTAGCGGAACTTGCGCAAATGAGGAGCGATTTTGCAACTCTCTGCCGCGCTGTTTGCACGGAATGCTTAGTGAACGTGTGTTCCGATCAGAGGAGATGAAATTGAGAATATCTCTCGAGCTAGCGTCGAGCACGATGCATGAGCACTCGAAGAGAAATCGATGCTCTCGAGGATGATCGAACTGCAAGAGAAGTCCAACTCGGAGAAGTTAATCGTTTCGACGAGGCAGCAGACGTTGCAGAAGTCAGAGAAGTTTTTAAAAGCGTGAAACAGCAAGATTGGAAAGGCTATATATATGCACATGCTAGCCTGGAAAGCGGAACTGAAGGAAACGAGAAAGCTTACGTATAAATTTGATTTTCGTAACAGAGAGGGAGATTTAAAACTATTCCTTCGGGAAAGAAATACGTTCAATCAGATAAAAAAAGTGGAAGAGTTTCTTTTCTTTCCTAAATTAGTCGAGAGTCTTTAAATTCTAGTCTTTAACCTCTTGCGCCGGAATGACGTGCCACGCGCGTCGAGAATTTTTTTATTCCGAAATCGTAATATTTCTCTCAGTTTTAAGTATATTTAAAGTAAAAACAAAATAGGGAAAGCAAATAATAAGTTCACTACTTCTCAATAATTTCTATCCAGCGATATAGCGACGATGTAGCGGCGAATTATTGTATATACGGTTTGGTCACTCGTTATGGTCCGCAATCAGTTGCCAGCGCAAGTGGTTAACGAGGTATGGCTTAAATGTAAATGCAATTCACCTTTAAGCATAATTTAAAATGCAAAATTAACCCTTTCGGAGTGGACAAAAATATTTGCACTAGAATTTCACTCTTGAATGAAAATTGCATTCCGCAGTTTCCTGCGAATTAAAAGTGAGAAACGAGATCGATCGTTTAGATATTCCAAAGCAAGTTCTACATAACAGTGAAATGATAGAGACACGCTGATTAAAGAGATACGTTCGAGTATGCGTTAAACTGGATTCCATCGTTACTTGTAATTCCAACTATGATCGGGAGAAACAGGTTTCTACAAACGCTATACTCACAGTGTTTCAATCACCGATCCTTTAAGCAGGACACTTGCGAAAAGGAACAAAGAATGGACGAGAAAGAAATATGTCTTAATTGGTTGACTTCAAAGTGGTAGTCATGCATAAGATTATATGCTTGACATTCTCAGATATGACATCGACTAATTTAAATCAAATCTTTCATTCCACCTCTTGCAACTGGTTCACGGCCTTCAGTTAATTTAAAGAATTCAGATATTCGTATAATTTGGTAGTTTTAATATCACAAAAAATTCACACAATATCTATAAAAAATCCAAAATAACGCACTCGTTACATATGACATTCACTATTAAGATTCTATTATTGTTAAATTTCTTCTAGTCATGTTTAAAAAAAAAAGAAATATAAAATTGCATAAACATTCGTAGTTAAACTCCAATTTAAACCAATTTAAAAAATTCAGATATTCGTATAACTTGGTAGTTTTAATATCAGAAAAATTTATGAAGAAGAAATTCACATAATATCTACAAAATACTCAAAATAACGCACTTGTTACGTACGATATTCACTATTAAGATTCTATTATTGTTAAATTTCCTCTAGTCATGTTTCAAAAAAAAAGAAATATAAAATTGCATAAACATTCGCAGTTAAACTCCAATTTAAAACAATTTAAAAAATTCAGATATTCGTATAATTTGGTAGTTTTAATATCAGAAAAATTTATGAAGAAGAAATACACATAATATCTATAATTTGGTAGTTTTAATATCAGAAAAATTTATGAAGAAGAAATATACATAATATCTATAAAATACCCAAAATAACGCACTCATTACATACAATATTCATTTTTAAAATTCTATTATTGTTAAGTTTCCTTTAGTCATATTTCAAAAAAAAAGAAATATAAAATTGGATAAACATTCGCAGTTAAACTCCAATTTAAAACAATTTAGAAAATTCAGATATTCGTATAATTTGGTAGTTTTAATATCAGAAAAATTTATGAAGAAGAAATTCACATAATAAAATACCCAAAATAACGCACTCGTTACATACAATATTCACTATTAAGATTTCATTATTATTAAGTTTCCTCTAGTCATGTTTCAAAAAAAAAGAAATATAAAATTGCATAAACATTCGTAGTTAAACTCCAATTTAAAACAATTTAGAAAATTCAGATATTCGTATAATTTGGTAGTTTTAATATCAGAAAAATTTATGAAGAAGAAATTCACATAATAAAATACCCAAAATAACGCACTCGTTACATACAATATTCACTATTAAGATTTCATTATTATTAAGTTTCCTCTAGTCATGTTTCAAAAAAAAAGAAATATAAAATTGCATAAACATTCGTAGTTAAACTCCAATTTAAAACAATTTAGAAAATTCAGATATTCGTATAATTTGGTAGTTTTAATATCAGAAAAATTTATGAAGAAGAAATACACATAATATCTACAAAATACCCAAAATAACGCACTTGTTACATACGATATTAAGATTCTATTACTGTTAAGATTCTATTACTGTTGAGTTTATATAATCAGTTTCCTCTAGTCACGTTCCAAGGAAAAAAAAAAAAAGAAGAAAAGAAATATAAAATTGCATAAACATTGGCAGCTAAACTCCAAAGATAGCGTGCCATCGCGAATAAATAGAGAAGCAGGGGGATCCTTGGTGAGGAGAGTAAACGTAAGGATGACGCGTCTCGAAGAAGTGAGGTTGCCGGTGATTGGATCCGAGAAAACCCGTTGGCGCGTTGTTTTCGTAGCCGGCAGGAGGCCATGGAACCCGGAGAAAAATCGGGGAGACGGCGATGGAGAGAGGGGATCCGTTGAAGGAAGACCGAGAGGGCTGAAAAACCGGTTCTCCAAGGAGCACGGGTGACCACCACGCTGCTCGCCAGAAGAGGAACGGTGTGTATCCACTGGTAAAGGAGGCTAGCGTGGTCTGTTACGAGAGAGAAAACCGGTTTTACGATACAAACTGGAGTAAAAGTGTGCTGCGTACGAGCCGAATGGTTTGGACCGCGTGCTTCTATGTTTATGACGCGGTTGGTGTTGATATGAACTGAGAAGCCAGCAATCGATAAATGTGCCACGTAGTATCGCAGATTGTGACTCGAGGGCGGGTTCTTTTGATAAATACAAAGATACGTATATAGCGTGAGTTTGTCAGTAAATTCTCTTTGAGCGAATATATGTGTTCAGAAACTTTTCGTCGAGGAACTATAACGAAGAAAATTCGAAATAAGTTTCCGCTTGAATGCAACGTAAGAACGGATCGGCAATATTTATTTAATTTGTTTGCACAAGGTTACACTTGGTTGATTCTTGGGTTTTCTCATAAAATAAATTGGAGCCAGAAATATGGCAAAGGATGATTTCTTTAAAAGGGAATGTATATACAGATACTTGTATCAGAGGAATAAAAGTGCAAGAGGCCGACTTTGATAAATTTACATTTTAAATTAGGTTGAGTTTTCAAGCTACCGATACTTTAATTTCAAATTTGCGTAGGTCGGAAGCAACATGTGGGAAGTTTATCCTTTGAAACGAAGCGAGTAACGAAACAGGATTACGCCGCGAGATGCTTTTGCAGACAACAAAAGCTCTTTGTCATCCGTATTGAGAAACCTTTGTCTCCGCTAGGTACGCCATTTAAATTTAACTTTTTTTCTCACGACAAAAACATTATTCTTCCTTCTAACGCTTAAACAACATGCTTAGCTGTTCCGAAACCATCGTTGTTCGAAAGAACATACCAAAACCATAAAAATATCAAAGATCAAATCAATCGAACGTGGAAAAACTTTAATCCTTATCCAGCTCATTTTCACAACGATGGAAATATCTTATTTTGTTATTTATCATGGCT